TATTATTTTAGTGCCTGTATAGTGTTTCATCATTACGCTGTAATAAATCAGTACTAATGGAATGCGGTGGCAAATAGCACTCCCGAAATGTAAAACTTTGATTCTAGATAAATAAGGTATTAGAAATAAATATTTTAACCCATCTGTATCTTTCATCGCGCACAGTGAATTTTGTTCACAAAATATCCCTAGCATTAGAGATGTCCAGTTGGAAGTACAGAAGCACCCAGTGAGCAGCGTTGGAATAGCAACACAGCAGGAGAAGAGACTCCCAGAGTAGAAGTACAGGGGGAGTTGTCCACAGAGAGGGCTCTTTCTAGAACCCTTTCTGATGGGGTCAACAATGAGTTGAAGTAGTTCTGGACTGGCATTTCTCTAAAATCTTTCACATAGAACAAGAATAACTGTGCTGCTTTCTATCCTAAAGAGCACAATTTGGCAATGATATCTGGTTACATGCTTCTTAAACCTGGATCCAGAAGAAGAAATCACTCAGCATTAACGTGTACACCTTTGCCAAATGTATCCTGTCTCCGTAGGATGAGTCTGAGCCAGACAAGCTGAATATCAAACCTTGGGTGATAAGAGAAGAAACTCAAACCTTCACCACTGTGTTACACGCTCACACGGCATCTGCCTTCCCTTCTTCTAACCAGGTTCTACTCAGCTTCCCAAAACATCCTGGGCAATCTCCCTCCTGTCCTAAAAGCTATGGAGTGAACCGCAGTGTTTAGAACTCCTGTGCGGCTTTCTGTCTGTGTCCTGGGCAGCTGCAGGTGGGAGAGAGCAGGCAGTGCGGAGATCCCCAGAGCCCAAGATAATGCCATTCCTGGTAGAGCTTACAGGTGACCAAACTGAGCTGCCTGATAGTGGACCAAAGGAACATAGAAGTTATGCTATGCTATTGCCTTCTCTCTCTCTCTCTCTTTTAAAGATACATTAATTCAGAGTCATGATCAGACTATTACATTTAGCAACCAACAGCATGGGTTCAAAAAAAAAAAAGTCTTCATTGAAACCCTGGGTGGGAATGTTTTCCCCTTTCCACAGAACAGAACTAAAATAACATGTAATCAATGTCACAAATACAGTTGTCAAGTATTTTTGGCTATGCACATGAGTATTATCTAAATCTATGTCTCTGATTGAAATTATTAATTGTTACTTGGATAATATGCATTTTCAAGAAATAATAAGAAATAATAGAGATTCTACATATCCTTAACCTACTGGTTACATCTTAAAAATATAGTACGACGTCACAGCCAGGATGTAGACATCGGTACAATTTACCATCTTATTCAGATTTTCCTGCTTTCACTTGCACTTATTTGTGTTGTATTAAGTAATATAAGATGCATATATATTGTGTGTAGAGAAGAACTATATTACTTGTATTACATCCTATACAATTTTATCACAGATTTCCTTTATAGATTTTACTTTTTATATTTCACATTTAAGTGTGATACATTTTGAGTTAATTTTGTAAAAGATGTTGGGAATAGGTCAG